AGGCTGGGGAGGAGGCCAGGCACGGTGGCGCCTGCGGCTTGCTGACACCCTTGGGTAGGGGAGTAGAGAAAAGAGGTGCAGCTGTCCCATCAGACTTCCAGTTTCTTTGGCGGGGGTGCAGAGGGGCAGGGAGCCCAGGCATCCACCTTGGAGTGCACACCAGTCTGGACAGGACTTAGTGCACCTCTGAGGTGTCCCAGAGCCTCTTCCAGTGCCTGCCACCCAAGCACCATCACCATGAACTTGAGACCCAGGCAGCGTGCAGCTCCCCAGGCTCAGCCTCTGGGGTGCAGCTCATAAGCCCGGGGCACCCATCCCCCACCCTAGCCCCTTGGACCTCATCCACCTTCACTCCTGAGGCAAAGGCTTCCACGGCCAAGCAGCTCTTCCAAATGGGGGGGTGGCTATCAGTCAAACTAGCTTGGGATTCCCAGAGGAATGGGGGTTGGGTGCTGTTACCACCGAACCACCTCCTCAGTGGCCTGGCATCGCCTAGGGGGCTGGGGCTGCAGGGGGCCCCCAACCCAAACCCAGCCTCTCACCTACTGACGGCCTGTGGGTTATGGAAGAGCCCTTACCAGGCCCACAGGGTCGGAGAGCCCCCCCATCCCCTCGGTACATTCCCAGCCATCTTCAAGGGTTTGGTCAATATTTGCTTGGAGAGCCTCTCCTAGCAGCCACAGCCGGGCTGGGGAGGAGGGGGTTAATGAAGATGTAGGGGCACCAAGGCGGGAAGGGCACCCTGGAGGTGTACCCGAAGACCGAGGGTTGGGGCAAAGGTCACCCAGAGGGCAAAGGGCATGCTCACGGTAGGAGGGGCCGGACTGGGAAACGGTCTGTACCTCTCTCTGGAGGAGGACCAGGGGAGGGTGTCTGCCAGCTTGGGTCACACAGCAAATCGGGGTGTGGGCCACTCTGGGCCCCCAGGCTTGCTGGGACTGTTTTCTTGCTACTTGGAGAAATTAAGAATTCTCCAACACCTTCTCACCGTGCAAATATTTATTGAGCTATTCTTTGGTGCTCCCTGGATCCAGCTTGGAGTCCTAACCACCAGTGTTCAGGGTACCCAAGGTCTAAAGAAAGGAAGACTCAGGAAAGGGAAAGCGGCGGTTTTTTTCAGAGTTAGGCTACAAAGACAATAGAAAAAAATGGGGTGGAGAGTGCTGGGGGGGTGGGGCCTCTCGGAGGATCTGGGAGCCCCAAAGAGCAGTCGCTTCATGGAAAGGGTTGGGCAGCAGCACCCCAGCCTCAGGACCAGCCAAGGGGAAAGGGCCTGTGCTGGTGACAGCCCCGAGGGTTCCAGCAGCGCAGAGAAGAGGAGAGAGGGCCGTGGGCGAGGGTGGCAGGGTGGCGAGACAGTGGCTGGCTGCTTCCAAATGCTCCCTCTGCCTGCCGCTCAGACAAAGGCCGCCGGGTTAGGGGAGAAGCTCCACCAGAGGCTGGGCCACAGCACCCCAGAGGGAGGCCGAGGGGGCCCGGACCGCGACGAGATGGGGAGAGGGGGTCAGAATCTCAGAATGGGGATGTGTTTTGGAATCAGAGCCAACAGTATTTGCTGATGGATTGGACGTGTGGGAAGAGCGCAGGAGAGTCGTCACGCACGCTTCCAGGTCTCCAGCCTGAGCACCTGGCTAGCTGGGGGAGGAGCAGGGCCGGGAGGGGGAAATGAAGGATTTCGCTCCAGAAGCCTGAAGTCCCCCCAGGAGGGGCCAGACCCCCTGGGGCGCATGTGCGGGCCAAGGGCCGAGGGGGAGGGGCGAGAGGGGTCCTAAACAGCCCAGCCCTGAGGCCTGCACTCAACCGCGCACCACCTGGCAGGTAGGTCCGGCCGTGACATGGCTTCACAGAGGGGACAAACAGGCCAGGGCCACCTCTGCCCCTCCAGAGGATTCCATACTGTGCCAAGAGCTTCGATTTGGGAGACTTCTGTCGCACTCCACGTTCTCACGGAAATCTTTAGGCTCTGGGCCCTGTGCAGAGAGTCACTGAGCAAGAGGCCCACGTGGTCCCAGCAGAGGCAGAGCCCGCTTTGGTTTTCCCTCCCTCTCCTTCCCATCCAGGGCTGAGAGGGAGGTGCCCTGGGTGGCAAGTCCCCATCCAACGGCCTTTGACATTCTGGAGCCTGGGCTGGGGATCCAAGAAGAGGCAGCCTTGAAGAGATAAGGTGGGGACCCCTGAGCCGTGCTGAGGCTCTGACCTGCTCGGCTGGTTGGAGACAGGGAGTGAGGGTCCAGGCCTCTAAGGGAAGGGACAGTTAAAGCCCTTGCTGTTTCCGAGGATTGGGGGGGGTGGCTGGGACCCCCGGAAACTCGCATTTCAGACACCCGCTCCGGTGGCCTTGGAGACCAAGAACACGTTTTCCTGCGCGGCCGGATTAGGTAGGGACGAAGTGGGATGAGACGCCCGGCCGGGAGGGGTCCCGAAACCGAGCAGTGGCCAAAAATAATAACAAGGAGAAAGATCTTTGCGCAAAAGAAGGAAGATAAACTATGCGTCGCTCGGGGCGGCCGCGTTACCTGGAGCGGGCGGGCGGCGCCCGCCGGAGCGATTACTCACCGCGTGGCGCACCCCACCCGCGGGCCGCTGAGTGGATTTTTCCGTAGGGGGGG